AAAAAAAAAGAATTCCAGGAAGAAGTAATGGCATGTGCATAGGTAAGAGGTGCGAAATAGCACTGGGTGCTTAGACACTTGCAATAAGTATGGTGTAACTGAGGCATGTTCTTACATTAAGCACAGAAGGGATCAGATGAAGAAGTATTTCATCTTTACTCAGTATTTCATCTACCTTGATTTAAGCCTGGTGCAATACTTAGCATATAGTTAGTGCTTTGGAAATATTCACTAATGATTGTGGCATTAATGATGCAACCAACTCAGAGTATGTGCTAAGAGACCATCTGGCCCTGAGGTTTTGTTTTTGTTTGTTTGTTTGTTTGAGACTGAGTCACCCACAGTAGAGTGCTATGGCGTCACAGCTCACAGCAATCTCAAACTCTTGGGCTTAAGAGATTCTCTTGCTTCAGCCTCCCAAGTAGCTGGAACTACAGGCACCCACCATAAGGCCCAGCTATTTTCTGGTTGTAGTTGTCATAGCTACTTGGCAGGCCCGGGCTGGATTCAAACCTGCCAGCTCCAGAGTATGTGTCTGGCACCCTAGCCACTGAGCTACAGGAGCTGAGCCAGGCCCTGAATTTTTAAGAATCAATTTTTAATAATAGACTTTTCTGAATTTCTAATGACAACTATGGACTTTCTATATAGAAAAATACATACACACCCCCAAACCTGAATACTATTGCAGAGGACTATAGAAAGCCTTGAAATCCATCCAACTGGCCTAAGTTAAGCACCCAGCTCTATCCCAACACCTTTTATTTCACAGGTAGAAAAATGGAGACCCATTCATAGTGGGTGGCTTGCCCAGGGTTACACAGCCAAGACCTGAGAACTATTGTTTCTGACTCCCGGTCAGGAACGGACTCTTCCTCTGCCTAACCTGCTGAGCTGGCTTTGTCCAGGGTCCTGGTCCTACCCACCATCCTCTGGCCCTTCCCCACCAGGCCCTGACCCCATCTGACCTTGGTCTGTTTCTTCTCCGTGGCATAGACAATGGAGGTGCAGCACACCTCGGCGATTTTGCGGCCCTGCCCGTAGAAAGACCAGCAGCAAATCTCATCCCCCAGGACATCCTTGAGAAAGAGCAGCCGCCCATGGAAGCGCAGGGCCAGTTTGTCAAACAGCTCGATGTTCTTCAGCAAGTTGTCATCTGAAGTGCTGAGGACCAGGAGCCAGGAGACCTCAGCATGGCTGGCTTCCCTCCCTCCATTCCCAAGGCAAGGGCCCAGATTCCCAGCACTCTGGTCCTAGCCAGGTGTTTAGTGCCCAATAGGAAGCTTCCTCTGCCATGGGGGCCAGTGTAAGTAGGCCTCAGAAGGGAAGCAGGCACAGCCATGGCTCCTGTGCCAGGCACCTGGTATCTTGGCTCCACCATTTTTAAGTGGGTGACACTAGGCAAGTCACTTCACCTCTTGGTTGCCTCAACCTGCTCATCTGTAAAATGCAGTTGACAGCAATTGTGACAATTCTGTCAGTCAATATAAAGAGAGCACTTACAGCATTGCCTCTTAAAAATAAGGACTAGGAAAGGCTAGCCACTGTCACATCATCGTCACCAAACCCTCCATTTACCAAACCCTCCATTTACCAAACCCTCCATTTACCAACAACAAAGCTGAAGCTCAAAAGTGGAAATGACCTGCCCCACCTGTCTAGGATTAAGTGGCAGAGCTAGAATTTGCACCAGATAGGCATTCTTATGAGCCCTCCCCTTGGGTGGGAGCAGGGCTGGGATCAATCCCAGGGCTCCAGCCAATGCACACCCACCACCCAGCCCCTGGTGGTCACCTGGTATAGGAGTACTTGTTGTTACTGCGGTTGTGCAGGAGCTTCACCACGGGCTGTGGGGGAGAGAGGATGAAGGATGGGGTGAGGCTATAGGAAGAGACCCTCAGTGAGCCTCCACCCCTCAGGGCTCAGGGGCCTCACCTTGGAGGTGCTGGCCAGGAGCTGCTGCTCCTCCCGGGGAGATGTCACGGTGGGGATGAGGCACAGCGGGGACAGGTTCTCCCTTTTTTGCTGGGGAAGAAGCGGAAGGTGGTTAACAGCATAACCAAAGGCCACTGACGCCCCTACTTAAGTAGCCTTCAAATACTACTTGTTGCCCCTGTGAGAAAAATCCAGATTCCCCGAGGATCCACAGGGCTGCATAGGTACTGACCTCTCTGAGCTTATTTCTCCCTTTCCCCTTGCGTGCCCAACTTCACCCATTGATGCCTCCCTCAGTACACCCAGCGGTGAGCCCTCCCTGGCCCCTTGCTGTGCCCCCTGCCTGGGATGCTCTTTGATTGGCTGGCTGCAGGGCTGGCTCCATGGTGCCATTCAGATTGCAACTCAAATGGTGCCTCCTCAATGACAGCCCTCTTTCTGAATCCCTTGGCTACAGCAGTCTCCTTTTTCACATCATCAGTTTATTTTCTTCCCAGTGCTTAGTTCCTGACATTTTCTAATTTATTCTATATTTGTATATTTGTTTATGGACTCTCTCTTCCCACCTTAAAGAGTACGTGCCTACTACACACTGATGCTCAATGAATATTTGCTGATTGAATGAATCTGGTTGGGTGGGATGAGGCTAGAGAAAGAATCAGAAGCAGACTCATGGGCTTCTTTTCTCTTTCAGAATCTTCATGCCAAAACCCCTCTCATCTCCCCCAACCTTGGAAACTAATGTGTGATTCTAATTCTAGGAAAAAAATTTTAAACTCCTAAGTCTCTTTAATATGGAAGAATAAAAGTCTACAATGACTCAGGTACATTTTTTAAAAAAGCAAAGAGAGGCTGACCCTGCCAGATAATTAGGAAGTACCATAAATCCATATTGTGAGAAGAGCGTGGTTCTAATGCAGTAACAAACAAAGAATAGAACACAAAAGAAAGCTGAGAAACAAAGCAGTGTATATATGAGAACAGGTATTTTTAAAACGACATCACAAATGAGTGGGGGAAAGTGTGGAGTGTATTTTAGTTATCTATTGTTGTATAACAAATTTCCAAAAACACTGCAGCTTAAGTTAATGATATTTATTTATTCAGTTTCTGTGGATCAGGAATTCAGGAGTGGCTTAGCCAGGTAGTTGGGCATCATGTCTCTCCTAAAGTTGTAGTCAAGACATCAGCAGGGCTGCAGGCATTTGAAGGCATGACAACCTTTGAAGGATCCGTTCCTGAGAAAGCTTATTTACATAGCTGGAAAGTCAAGTTCATGCTCGCTGCTGGCAGGAAACATCTAATTCCTGCTATTTGGATCTCTCCACAAGGTTGCTTGTGTATCCTCATGGTGGCTGTCCTCTCCACAATCCAAGAGAGAGCAAGATAGAGATCCCATTGTCTTTCATGACCTAGCTTTGTCAGCCCTATCTAGTGTGGAAGGAGACGACACAAGGGAATGAGTATCAGGGGACATGAATCATCAAGGCTGCCTTGGAGACTGGCTCCAGTCTCCCCTCCAGCTCCTACTGATTCATATCCCTCCCATATGCAAAATGCACCACCTCCACCACCACCCGCCCCGACATTCCCCCAAAGTCTTATTCCATTACAACATCAGCTCAAAGTACAGACTCTTAACATCTAAATCAAGTGCAGGTGGGATGTGGCTCTTGGGCTTAGTTTCTTAACTACAGCTTCTTAAGTACATTTCTTATCTGAAGACCTGTGAACTAAAGAAACAAGTTATCTCTTCCAAAGACACAATATGCAATGGCAGAAACACACAAGTAACCACTAGGGGCACTCTTGGTTCAAAAGGGGGAGAAACAGGAGGCCTACAGAAGTCACCTCCTCTGTGAAATTCAATAATACAGTTGGACAAATATTGGGAACTCTTTGATGCCTACTCCTGTTCAGGAAGGATTCTCCATGGACACACAAACAACGATTGCTCTTTCTCTGAGTCATCCTGCTTCTTCCATGAAGGATCTTTGCAACTCCACAGTTTCCTCAGCCTGCTTCCAGCCTGTATAAGTTTGGTGGTCCAAAGGCCTCTTCTTTTGTACTGACTCTGTCTCTTTCAGTCCAAGCTGGCAATGTTTCTGTAAATTCTCTTTATAACTTTCTGGGTGTCTTGCTAGTCCTGGGGTTCAATTCATTAAAAAAAGCCACACTCGTAAATCTCTGCAAGATAATACCCTAAAAGCTTTTCGGAAGTGCTATTATTTGATTGAATGGTCCTCTGAGGCATCCTCTCGGATATTTTTGAGTGTTTTTTTTTTTTTTTTTTGTAAAAATGGTATCACTTATCACCCAAGCTGGAAAGCAGTAGTGTCATGATAGCTCACTACAGCCTTCAACTTCTGGGCTCAAGTGATCCTCCAGCCGCAGCCTCCTGAGTAGCTAGAATTACACGCACACACTACCAAACTCAGTTGATTTTTAAATTTTTTGTAACAGGGTCTCAATATGTTGACCAAGCTGGTTGTGAATTCCCAGCCTCAAGTAATCCTCCAGCCTGGGCTTCCCAAAGTGCTGGGATTATAGGTGTGAGACATTGTGCTTAGCCATTTCTCAGGTCTTAAGAAAGGACTTTATGGCTC